CCCCAAAACCCCAAAACCCCAAAACCCCAAAACCCCGTAAATCGTAGGCTAATTGAATTATATATCCAAATAAGAAAATAATTTCCTCCTTTTCAACTTCTGATCTCCATAACTCTTTTCACTTGGGCTTGGGTATCCCTAAAGTATAATAAATCATTCTAGACCTACTTGGTATTTATAATTCCCTGAGTACGGTCTTCTCAGGCTGCTACTTCTGCTCTTGGTGCCTCCAATATCTGAATGTGATCTTTGCTCAGTCTAGAATTTATTTAAAAATTTAAAATAAGAAATTTCTTACACTTAAACGTTTTACTGATGAATCATGAATATAGCTGTTACGTAAAACATTGTTGTAAGGAATATTCTCCTTTATTTCAAGCTTAGATGGCTCCTGAGGAAAATACCCATAAACTGGAGAAGCCTTCTGCTTCTCATCTACAGGTGTTTTAAATCCTTTCGGGATGCCAAAATCTTGATTTAGAGTCGGAAAAATCTCTGTCTCAATTGTGTTCTGAGGCATTTGAGATCTCACATTGTGAATTACTTCGGTACTAGGATATAGAGCTCTTAACTCTCTAAAATTCTGTTTTTCTACGGTTTGCTTGACATAGGTTATGACGCAAGGCTTCATAGACTTAAGAGGTTTCGTTCCATATCATGGAACTGGCATAACAACTATGCATTTCTTTTCCTGTGTTCCATCAAGGGAGTGATATTTTCTTTCTTTGAATCTTAAACATTTTAAACTATCTGTTGGTTCCTTAGAAACTAGAGCTAGATTAGCAATGAAAATAACTAGAAGGCTTACAAAGAGACCTATCCAATATGATAGTGATCTTTGGATTATGAAGTCACATGGATACAGCCTATATTTTAGATCTTGAATTTACCAGATCAAATAATTTTCTGATGAGATTAGCAAACTGTTCTTCTTCAATCAATTTGACTTTAATTTTTAAATTTCGTTCCTAAAATGTCATTTTGAAAATTTACACAAGCAATTTGGAAATCATGGATGTACCATCTAAGGAGGCTTAGCTTATGGTATTTCCAGTCAAACACACATTGAGAATTCTGCCTCCAGAATGGATCTAGTGTAGTGAGAAGGTGGTTATAGGTCTCAGATTCTTTCTTGATTCCAAGTACTGAAAGAAGGTCTTTCATCTTATCTTCTACTACCGACTCAGTGTATTTGTAAACAATGTCAAAAGCAGTCTGAGCTACACTGACAAAGGTAGAATTGTCCTTGATATATTCTTTAAAAGTAATATTTGGCGTGGTATTATTTACAAGAGGAAGTTGAGGGAGTACATTTGTCATAACCTCAAACCATTTCCTTGAAAACTCTGCCTCTTCAGTACATTGTTCTTCATCTATAGACTGGTTATCTAGGCTAGTTTCGACCTCTTCTTCGCTATCCTCTCAAAGGGAGTTTTGAGAGCTTTGGTGCTTTTCACTTTTAGTTTCTTCATACTTGGTATCTTCTCAAGTAGTATTAACCTGACGTATTTTCTCTAATTCTGAATTGGATTTTTCAAGGCTATCATTGGCTTGTTCAAGATTCTTCTTAAGCAGAGAGACTTCTTCATCCTGTCTTTTCTGCAATTCCTTAACTATTCTTTTAAGCTCGCTGATTTCAGCAGAGTGGTTAGCCCGAGGAGGAGAGGTGATTGAGGAATCACCATTTTGATCTCCAGCTGAAGCTTTATCCGCTTTTGGAGTACTCTTTACACTCATTTTCCAATTTGACTCTTTAAAATTCAAATATATTTAAATTTCTTTTGAAGAACTTGGGGTTTTGGGGTTTTGGGGTTTTGGGGTTTTGGGG